CTGCTGAAAACCTGCTGGGTAAACAAAAGAGGTCTTAGGTGCCAAATCAAATCTTTGAATTATTAATCAGAGTGGATATTTTTATTATATGTTATTCTATATTATATTTATTATAATATTATATACATTATAATATATATTATATAAAAATATAATATCTTATTATTTTTATTATATATATTTTATGGGATTACAGTTACTTTAACATTTGTTTAGTTTCATTAATGGATACTTTTGTTTAGATTTACGGTTTGAATACTTTATTTTCTTAATACTTTTTATGAATCAAGACATTTCCAGTGCATTATTGTTTATTTTCATGGCTTTACTAAAAGAATATTACAGTTTTATTTGGTGTTTTATAATTTTTTCTTTTATTTGAGGCTTGACTTTTTTTTTTTTACTGACTTTGATGTTTTTATGTTGGGATTTTTTGTGTTATTTTGGTTTGTTTTTTCCTTTGGAGAAAGGGACAATTTTTATATATATATATATATAAATTTATATATATTGATAAATATTTATTATTATATTTATATAATTATAAATATATTTATATTATATATTATTTTATTAATATTTATTGTATTTTAAATTACTAATTGTAATATATAATAATTATAATATATAATAATACATTAATTATTTACAATCATTTATAATATTAATTACATAAATTATTACATATAATTAGTTATAATATGTATATATAATATATCTATATATATAATATAGTATATACTATATTATATATAGTATATATAATATTATATTAATATATTATTATCGATAATTTACATAATAAAATAACATATATATATTTTATTTTATATAAATAAATCTATAATGATATGTAAAATTTTATAGAAATATGATATGATTTGATATAATGTAATATAATGTAATATAATATAATATAATGTAATGTAATGTAATGTAATGTAATATATATAATATGATGATATGATATGATATGATATGATATGATATGATATGATATAATATAATATAATATAATATAATATAATATAATATAATATAATATAATGTAATGTAATGTAATGTAATGTAATGTAATGTAATATAATATAATATAATATAATATAATATAATATAATATAATTAATATTTCTTTCTTTATTTTTTAACTTGCCTTCTTCCCAATAAATCAGTTTTCTTGGCTCATTCCCTGGTAACATAAATTCAATAAATTCCTCCCCCAGAGCTCTGGTCACTGCTGTCCTCATCTGGATAAGATAATTTAAGAATGGAGGGGGGTCTCTGACCATCTTTTTCAGTCTTTGGGTTATACCAAAAAATAGTTTTTGCTTTAATACTATGCCATAGCTCAACATAGTATACCAATATTTCTAAGTTTCATCAATAACAGAAATAGAAGGAACTATATTAATACTACAAAGTTTTCTAACCTTATACAAATAACATTTATATAAATTTATGTTATAATTTTATTTATTTAATAACCTTATTAATATTATACATAATAATATAATATTTATTATTATAAATTATTTATTTAATAACCGTTTATTTAATAACCTTATTGATATTATACATATTAATAATAGAATATGTATTATTATGAATTATTTATTTAATAACCGTTTATTTAATAACCTTATTGATATTATACATAGTAATAGAATATTTATTATTATGAACTATTTATTTAATAACCACTTATTTAATAACCTTATTGATATTATACCTAATAATAGAATATTTATTATTATGAGTTATTTATTTAATAACCACATATTTAATAACCTTATTGATATTATACATAATAATAGAATATTTATTATTATGAATTATTTATTTAACAACCACTTATTTAATAACCTTATACAAATATTTTAATATTTGTGAAAAGCCAATAATATAATATTTATCTATAACAGAGGGAAGCTGAACTCAGAGTTTTCCTGCTGTTATGGCTTCTCCTGATGTTTGAAGGTACAAGATTTTGTGTGTCTTTTTTAAAATAAGAAACACCTTTTTTTAAAAAAAAAAACAAAACAAAACAAGAGAAGCTGACTGGGAGGTTTCCTGAAGAGATAATAGATAATATTTCCAGTCAAAAAACAAGTTAACAACACCTTGTGTAGCTGACAGGACTCTCCAGAATGTTTTCTTTCTAAATCCAGGGATTTAGACACGAGGTGGCGCCAAGTCCTTGTGGGAACATCTCCCAAATTTGGGTAATTCCACCTGTCTCAGGTGAGTCCCAGCTACAGCAAACAGCATTAATGGCTCACTGAAATGCTTTTAAAAATGCTGAGAGAAAGGCACAATGTTTTCCTGAAAGGGTTTTTTAAGGACTGCGTGTGTCAATGAAAACTTCTGGAATGAAAAGAGAATGCTGGGGGAAAAAACCACCCAAACTGCTCACTAAGTATGGATCTCTCTGGTAAAACTATCTATATATTAAGGAATATTTTTAAGTGTACCTTATCTGTCCTCTATAAAACCTCTATATCGTGTGTTCTGATAAATGATGACAGAAGAAAAATAAATTTTAAAAGCTCTGTTTTCGTATCAAGTAGCTGTAGCTATCCTGCAAAATCTGAATATTCTATTTTCTAAATGCAGAATTTTTACTTTTATGTAGGGGAAAAACACTTTTACTCAAGCTCTCAACTTGAATGTTCCAGATTCATTCCACCAAACAAAATAAACCAAGGGCATACCTTAACCACTTAAAAAAAGAAGGTTTTCAAAGGGTAAGAGAAGGTTGTGCCAGAGGAAATTGGTAACGTGACTGGCCACAAATCTCTGCTGAAGATAAAGCAGGTCACACTTTCCAGTGAGACATAATGGATTATGGAGTCCAGAGGGAGGGATTCTCCAACACATTATTTCCTGTTTCCAGCTGATTTATCCCCATTTATGTGAAAGGAAAAGCTTTTCAATGGGTGAGTTTGTGTTTTATTTTTTCAAAACCAAGAGATTAGGCAGCATTGCAGCTTTCAGAGCTCTGAATTACAATGTTTATTTGTTGTTTCACAGCCTGCAGTCTGTGAGGACTGTGAAACCACACTGTGACCAACCTTTTGTAGTCCTGGAGTAAAGATTTCATAAAGAAGGACGTGAGATCTTGTGAGAACTCTTGAGCAAACTGATATTAAAAGATCCCAGTGCTCGGGGCTGAATTTAGACTACTTAGTTACAGCTAATTTACCCTCCATTATAAACAGGAAAATTTACAGCTTTATAAAAACCTTTCAGCACATATAACAGCAATTTGGAACACACTGCAAAGTGAAGCAGAAAAAGATGATTTATATTTTTTTCCTGCCTTAGAAGCACGAGTTTCTATCTGGGGAGCACGGATGTTCAGAACCTTCATCTCAGAGTCTGGTTTGGCCCTTACCCTTCAGGTTTGGTACCATTTTACCACTTTTTTCACAATCCAGTCACGGGACAAGCAGCACAAGGCAAGAACATCAGCCCAAGCAGCATTCAGGCACAGCTGCAGGATCAGGAACCTGGCCCAAACTAAACCTCAGCATTGTCACAGTGACCCATAACGTGGCTGTGACGAGAGAAGCTCGCTCAGCTCTGCTCAGTAAGTTTCAACAGCATTAAAAATAAACCCTGATGATTAAATCTCAATAGGATAAACTCACAGGTGGGATCTCCCAGGTGGGATCTCACACATAACTCTGCTTTTTGAGATGGTTGGTGAGGCTGTGCTCTGCTTTGGGGCTCCTGACTTGTTTTTCTCATAGGTCTTTTCCGAGAAGGATGACTCTGCTCCCCCTGAATAAACCCCATTGTTACATAAGAGAGGCAAAGGCCTCACACAATGCCAGCTTTGTGGCAGTCATGGCTCTGCACCACTGCAGCAAAGACACAGGGCACTCTCATTGAAGGGACACCTCTGGAATGGGAATTAGCCAGCAGGGCTGAGGGAGCGCTCCTAGAACCCCCAAACAGAGAGAGGTGCAGAGTTAAACCACTCATCACAGCGATATTAAAGGGGATAGACAGCACCAGCAAGCCAGAGCGAGCCCAGAATTAAGATCCTCTCTGCTTTCTGCAGAGCATTACGTCAAGCAATAAAAGCAGCAGGGCTGTAAAACCCCGAGCCATGAACAGACAGAGGCTTGTGCTCCTTGCTCAGCCTTCCCAAGGGAGGGGCAGCAAGTGCAGCCTCCCCATCCCTTCTCCTGCACAGGGACAAGGCTGTGCTCAGCCTCCCTCTGCCAGGAAAACCCTGTGGAACAGCCAATTCCAGGCCAGGAATCACCAGCCCTGCAGCATCCAGCTCCCAGGTGCTGCTCCTGGGCTGTGGAGAGCTGGCCAGACACCTGTCCTAGAGCTCCAGGGAGCTGGCAAAAAGGAGGGGAAACTGGGCTGGTTTCACCTGAGCTGTGTTCAGATCATTCTGAATTCGGACTCTTTCCCAAGTGGTTTGGCAATACCCAACAGTGCTGCCCAGTGATTGTTGGTGCCAGCGTTAGGAAAGACACAAATGTTATCAAGCAGTGTAATTTTCACCACTCCTCTACCTGACCTATTTAAGGGGACTGCCTCAGAGTTGAGAGGAAAGGCGAGAAATGTTCAAAAGCCGAATTAATAACACAGCCCGTGGATTCTTGCCAGCTGAAATTATTCTTCAGCGTGTTCAGAGATGTTTCAAAGGCGTTCTGCTTCACCCTCTCTCTCCCACCTTGGGCATGTCTGCTCTGTAGGTGAGGTCCAACCCTTTATCTGGAATATCTGGAATGTGATTCATAGCCTTGGTGTTTTGGTGTAAGTTTAAAAGCAAAACTGAAATAATATCTAATTCTTCCCAAGGTCAGAGAAGTGGCTCAGGGAACAAGTTTTAACACATGGGAAGATTATCCAAGGCAAAAAGAGATTCTGAAACTGAGGAGAAACCTTGTAAGTAAAAAAAAATTAAATTAAAGCAAGGTGTGTATTAGACATGTTTAAACTATTTAGGTGAAAGACAGAAAACCGCGGTGCCCAAAATGCAGCCAGTCCGCACAGAGAGAAAAGTGCGCGTTAATTGCGTTGTTAATGAGGCTAAAATCTCTTTATCTCACTTTCTGCTGAGGAATTCCTTTTCTTCGGGCAGCTCCATGGAGAGCTGACATCCCCAGGAGCACTCAGCTGTGAAACAGCACAGGTGACTCCTTTAGACAACAAAAATAAAAATAATAATAAAAATCTGATAAAAAAGCTGATAAAAAAATGAGATTTTTGCTCCAAGCAGGGAGCTCCCAAATAACCAAAACTCCGTGTTTTTAAGAGTGACCCAGGAACCTCCAGAGACAGAAGAAAAGCCACACTTCATGAGTGTGTTTTTATTTAACATTTGTGTGCTTGCAGCCTCCCTGCACCGGAGATTTTTTCGGTGACAAACAGAGCATTAGAGGGTTAATTTTAAATTTGAAGCAGGGGATGATATCAGATAGTTATAACAATATAAACCTCACATGCTGTTATTTTACTGAGGGAATTAAAGCAGGAAAGAAGCTCTTTGAGTAGAGGAACCCCTGATTTTGAAATCTTTGGTGTAATCAGCGTTTTTCTCAGTCAATAGCAGGATACCTGGAAAAAGCCCGGTGGGTGGGAAAACGCCCCCCAAAGAACCAGAACAAGCGAAAGAAAGAGGAGAGTTCTGATTCCGGCAGTGAGGATGAGGATGGGGAATGGTGCGCGGAGAATTCCCGGAGAGCAGGAATTCCCTGGAGCACCTGCCCGCACGGGGGGGCCGGAGCGCCGCTGGACCGGGACCGGGATAAAGGATCGGGATAAAGGATCGGGATAAAGGATCAGGGACCGGGATAAAGGATCAGGGATAAGGGACCGGGATAAAGGATCAGGGATAAGGGATCGGGATAAAGGATCAGGGACCGGGATAAAGGATCGGGATAAGGGACCGGGATAAAGGACCGGGATAGAGGATCAGGGACCGGGATAAAGGATCAGGATAAAGGACCGGGATAAAGGATCAGGGATAAAGGAGAAAGGGTCAGGGACCGGGATAAGGGATCGGGATAAGGGACCGGGATAAGGGACCGGGATCAGGGACCGGGATAAGGGACCGGGATCAGGGACCGGGATAAAGGATCAGGGATAAGGGACCGGGATAAAGGAGAAAGGGTCAGGGACCGGGATAAAGGATCGGGATAAGGGACCGGGATAAAGGACCGGGATAAGGGACCGGGATAAAGGATCAGGGATAAAGGAGAAAGGGTCAGGGACCGGGATAAGGGACCGGGATAAGGGATCGGGATAAGGGACCGGGATAAGGGATCGGGATAAGGGATCGGGATAAAGGATCAGGGATAAGGGACCGGGATAAAGGACCGGGATAAAGGACCGGGATAAGGGACCGGGATAAGGGATCGGGATAAAGGATCAGGGATAAAGGACCGGGATAAAGGAGAAAGGGTCAGGGACTGGGATAAAGGATCGGGATCAGGGACCGGGATAAGGGACCGGGATAAAGGATCGGGGACCGGGATAAAGGATCAGGGATAAAGGATCAGGGATCGGGATAAGGGATAAAGGATCGGGATAAAGGATCAGGGATCGGGATAAGGGATAAAGGATCGGGGATCGGGATAAGGAGTCTGGATAAGGGATCAGGTATCGGGATAAAGGATCAGGGATCGGGATAAATGATCAGGATAAAGGATCAGGGATCGGGATAAGGGATCAGGGATCGGGATAAGGGATCAGGAGCGGCTGCGGCCGCACGAACCCTCGGTGCGGGAGGTGGCGGAGCGCGGTCCCGGCTGGCCCGGAGGCACCACCAGGAGGAGGATCGGGATCGGGAGGAGGATCGGGATCGGGAGGAGGATCGGGATCGGGAGGAGGATCGGGATCGGGAAGAAGATCAGGAGGAGGATCGGGATCGGGAGGAAGATCAGGAGGAGGATCGGGATCGGGAGGAAGATCAGGAGGAGGATCAGGATCAGGTCAGGCAGGGCTCGGCGGCTCCGGGCTGTTGCTGCTCCATCCCGCGGGGCTCCGCAGGGACAGCCAGGGAAATCTGCCCTGTCCTTGCGGCCAGCAGAGCTCCGGAGCCCCAGCGCGGCTGGCAGGTGGGTAAACCAAGCCATTTACTGCCCTGGGGCAGGGGCTCAGCAATGACACCCCTCCGAGTGGGAGCCTCCCCTCCCCGGGCCCTGAAAGTTAACTATGAAATAAATCCTGCGGGGTGGCAGGGGGTGGGAAAAGGGCTGACTTGTTAATTAACTATTAAATAAATAGTGAGGGGTGGGAAGAGGGTTGATT